ACATGAAAATGCCACTATCGCTGTCCTATGCTGCCACCTGATCAGTGGGAATCATGACACTGTCGTTGACCGGTGCTGCCTGATTGTCAGGGAGAATGTTGTTGCCACTGACTTTGCTGAGCTGTTGCTGAAAAACAGAGGGAGAGCAGCTATCACCCAGGAGTTGGTGAGAGGTAGCTGGACAAACCCTACTACGCCCCATTAACCACCTGAAGTCCAGACACTTTCAGTCTGGGCCATTTGTCATACTAACAAATATCATAGGCATACTTAGAAATACACCCCAAAACTAATTCTGCTACTACTCCAGAGTGTGGCGACACCACATGCATGAGACTTTTCCACAGCCTAACCACATAGAGGAACCCAAAATCCAAGGAGCACCTTCAGGCATTCTAGGAGCATTAATTGCGCACCTAACTTCCTAACTACCTATCACATTTTTGGAGGCCCTGGAACATCAGGACAGTGAAATCTCCCATTAAATGACCACATTGAACAGTAAACACCCCAATGTATTTTTAGAGGCATGGTGAGTCTTTGAAGATATTTGTTCCCGAAAGTTTTTGGAAAAAGCATAAAGAAAATAAAAATAAATATTTTTTCACAAAGTTGGAAATGTAATAAATATTTATCACACACAGCATGGGCATACTTAGAATTACACCCCAAAACACATTCTACTACTCTTCCTGAGTATGATGACACCACATGTGTGAGACTTTTTCAGTGTGTGAACTTTTTATCTACCAGATATTGTATCTTGTGTATCATACAAATCAACCAATTGTGTCAAAACCAATGTACTGTAATGGTCACCTCTGTATGAGTGTTTAGGAATATAACTTAGTGTACCATCACCTATAGCAGTCCCAGTTCCTATAGGCCAAGCAAGACTAGCCTACTGGTACATGGCTGCCCCCAAGAATGCAATGTTCACTTGCCAAGAAGTACAGGAAGCTGAATAAAGGAAGAACAAAAGAGTTCTTGTGGCTCCAGGAGTGCAGTTGTCCACAGGGCATGGCTGGGACTGGTGTCTCACCAGGGCATAGTCAGGGGATGTGCAGATGGGTTAGTTGAGGCACAAGCAGAGACATGATCAAGAAGCAGACAAAGGATCGGTCCAGGCAGGAGGCAGAACTGTGGTCAATAAACAGGTCATGACTGATACAGAAAGCTGGCAGCACTGTTGTAGACGTGATCAGGAGCAGTGTAACTGGTGTGGCAGTGATCAGGGACACTGAGCCTGGTGTTGGAGTTACCATGGACACTGTACCTGGCATGGCGGTGATCACGGACACTGTAACTGGTGTGGCAGTGATCAGGGTTGCTATGACTGGTGTAGCAGTGATCAGGGACACTCTCTAACTGAGACAATGTGACTGGTGTGGTGGTGATCAGGGATGCTTTAGCTGGTGTGGGGACAATATGACTGGTGTGTCAATGATCAGAGACATTGTGAGTGGTGCGGTTGATGTGGTGGTGATTAGTGAGTGGGCGGCAGTGATTACCGACAATACGAGTGGTGTGGAAATGATCAGGGATACTGGGACTGCTGTGGTGGCGATCATGGACACCATAACTGGTGTGGTCATGGTCATGAACACTGTGAACACTAACTGGTGTGGCAGTTATCACGGACACCGTAACTGGTGAAGAGATGATTGGGGAGGGCCACTGTAACTGATGTGGCAGTGATCACTGACACTGTAACTGGTATGGAGGTGATCAGGGACACTGTAACCGGCGTGACGGTGATTAGGGGTGCTAACTGGTGACAGCGAGTTAAACATCAGAAAAAAAATTCTATTTAAAAATAAAAAAGTTTTATATTTTTATTTTTACATACAGATTGTGCCACTTCACACTCACAAAAAGCATGCACAAGGGACAGGTGGGGATGGGGGGTGCGTACAGGTACATCCACTGTCATCGATGCTGCTTCCTCCCAGCTGTTATGTACTATGGCCAGACAGGAAGCAGTTAAAGGGGAACAATATTGTTTGCTTGGGACACAGTGCAGACGACCTAAACCAGGGTTAGGTGGAACTTATCTTGAGTGCTCCAATGCTGGATCTGGGCCCAATGTGCTGGCTTGCAAGAAAAGGTTTTATTATAGACTGACGAACTGTCATTGTAACATTGTACCTTAGTCTGGACCCTCCCTAGAATAGCATTTAGGGGTCATTCCTAAATGACACCATTGATGGAGAGCTATTCCTACCACTTTCATTGGGCACTATTCCTCCCACCGATACTGACAATGGGGCGCTATTCCTCCAACTGACACCAATAATGAGACACTATTCCTCGCACTGACACCATTGTTTGGGCACTATTTCTCCCTCTGACACCAATAATGGGGAATTATTCCTTCCTCTGAGACCAATGATGGGGCACTATTCCTCTTACTGATACCAACAATGGGGCAATATTCTTCCAAATGACACCAATGATGAGGCACCATTCCTCCCACTGATACCAATATTGAAACACTATTTTCCCACTGTCAACAATGATGGTGTACTATTCCTCTCACTGACACCATCGATGGGGCACTGTTCCTCCCACTGATGCCAATAATGGTGCACAATTCTTCCCATTAAAACCAAGGATGGTGCATGGTTTACTCCCACTGGCCACAGTCCGGCCCCCCTAAAGCCTGAAGGACAGTAGACTGGCCCTTTACTTAGAAAGTTTGGAGACCCCTGCTTTATACCTTTGGCATACTACCAACTGTATACAATTTTGCCTACTGTTTGTATACGTTGTATGTTGTTTTTTTTTATGGATTCTCACCACTTCCATCCATATATATATATATATATATATATATATATATATATATATATTGCTCAGCATAAAGGATAAAGGTGTATACCCCAACAGATTTGTCAGAAAACCTTTACTTAACTTTTAGAATCAACATTTTCTATGGGACATTATACTACAAAATACTGCCACGAAGGTGGGCTATTGACTGCAAACAAGATTTGTTAATTTGCACACACTAAAAAGTATTTTTCCTAACAAATTTATTCAAGACTATGTTTGAAAAAATGAATACACCCCAATGAAAGTTCTAGGAACAAAGCTACATTTTAGAAAACAAAATCCTAATTAACAAGAATTCAACTATAGGTAAGTCTAATTATTCATTAAACAGGTGTCCGGCAAACAGTTGATTACAAAAGGGTGTTATTTAACAAAGAAAACCCCTTCCTATTTTATGTCAGCAATGGCACCACATAAAAGAGAAATGTCACAAGGCCTGAGAAAGAAAATAATTTCTTTACACAAGAAATGTGAACGCTATGAGAAGATCAGCAAATCTTTACTTATCAGTCAGAATACTGTAGCAAAGTGATGCAAAAATGTAACAAAAATGGAATTGCAACCATCTCACAGAGATGTCCAGGCCGTCCACGGAAGTTAACACCTTGATAGGAATATCTTCTGATGAGAAGGGTTGAAACAAATCATCATGAAAGTTTACTGCAGTTAGCTAAAGAAGTAAAAGCTAAACAGGGTGTGATTGTCTCCCATGACACAATACAGCGTACACTGCAGAGGAGTGGCATGCACGGGTGTCGTCCACGAAGAAAGCCTCTTCTAAAGCCCATGCACAAAAAAGCCTGCCTCGAATTTGCCAGGACCCATGCTGAAAAAGAAGACTACTGGGACTCTGTACTCTGGAGTGATGAGACCAAGGTAAATGTTTTTGGAGCTAATGGCTTCAACACTGTGGTGAGGAGTACAAAGAAAAATGCATGGTGCCTACAGTGAAACATGGTGGTGGCAGTGTCTTTTTTCTTTTGTGGGGCTGCATGAGTGTTGCTGGTGTTGCGGAGCTGCATTTAATTGATGGTATCATGAATTCACAGATGTACTGCTCTATATTGAAAGAGAAGATGCTAGCATCACATCATGCTCTCGGTCGTCGTGCACTTTTCCAACATGACAATGATCCAAAACACACATATAAGGCCACTGTTGCATTTCTGAAGAACAACAGAGTGAAAGTGATTCAGTGGCCAAGTATGTCTCCTGATCTAAACCCAATCAAACATCTATGGGGAATTCTGAAGAGACAAGTTGAGCATCACTCTCCATCCAGCAACCAGGCTCTAAAAGAGGTTGTTCTTGAAGAATGGAAAAAGATAGATGTTGCAATATGTCTCTAACTTGTTCATTCCATGCCTAGAAAACTTGGTGCAATTCTTACAAATTTTGGAGGTCATACAAAATACTAGATGTAGTAGTTTTTGTTGTGGAGTTTATTCAAAAGTATTGGGAAACCTGTACTTTAATGGCATCCTAGTCTTAGTCCATAGGGTAAGCATCCTTTGCAGCTATAACAGCTTCAACTCTTCTGGGAAGGGTTGTCCACAAGGTTTAGGAGTGTGTCTATGGGAATGTTTGACCATTCTTCCAGAAGTGTATTTGTGAGCTCAGGCACTAATGTTGGACAAGAAGGCCTCGTTCACAGTCTCGGTTCTAATTCATCCCAAAGGTGTTCTATCGGGTTGAGGTCAAGACTCTGTAAGCCAGTCAAGTTCCTCCACCCCAAACTCGCTCATGTCTTTATGGACCTTGCTTTGTGCACTGGTTACCTGTCATGTTGGAGCAGGAAGGGACCATTCCCAAACTGTTCCCACAAAATTGGGAGCATGAAATTGTCCAAAATGTCTTGGTATGCTGACACCTTAAGAGTTCCCTTTTCACTGGAACTAAGCGGCCAAGCCCTACCCCTGAAAAAACAACCCCGCTCCCTAAACCCCCCCTTCCACCAAACTTTACACTTGGCACAATGCAGTCAGGCAAGTACTGCTCTTCTGGCAGCCACCAAACCCAGACATGTCCATTGGATTGCCAGACAGAGAATCGTGATTTGCCACTCCAGAAAACATGCCTCCACTGCTCTAGAGTCCAATGGTGGCGTGCTTTACACCACAGCGTTTTGCATTGCACTTGGTAATATAAGGCTTGGATGCAGCTGCTCAGCCATGGAAACCCATTCTGTGAAGCTCTCTATGCACTGTTGGTTTGCTAATCTGAAGGGCACACGAAATTCGAAGGTCTTTAGCTATTGACTCTCCAGACAGCTGGCAATTTCTGCACACTGTGCTCCTCAGCATGCTCTGAACCTGTTCTGTCACTTCGTGGCTGAGTTGCTGTTGTTCCCAGTTGCTTCCATATTGTTGTAATACCACTAACAGTTGACTGTGGAATATTTAGTAGCAAGGAAATTTCACGGATGGACTTATTGCACAGGTGGCAACCTGTGATTTGCCACTCCAGAGAACATGCCTCCACTGCTCTAGAGTCCAATGGTGGCGTGCTTTACACCACAGCGTTTTGCATTGCACTTGGTAAATAAGGCTTGGATGCAGCTGCTCAGCCATGGAAACCCATTCTGTGAAGCTCTCTATGCACTGTTGGTTTGCTAATCTGAAGGGCACACGAAATTCGAAGGTCTTTAGCTATTGACTCTCCAGACAGCTGGCAATTTCTGCACACTGTGCTCTCAGCATGCTCTGAACCTGTTCTGTCACCTTCGTGTGCTGAGTTGCTGTTGTTCCCAGTTGCTTCCATATTGTTTATAATACCACTAACAGTTGACTGTGGAATTGCTATTGGTCTTTAGCTATTGACTCTCCAGACAGCTGGCAATTTCTGCACACTGTGCTCCTCAGCATGCTCTGAACCTGTTCTGTCACTTCGTGGCTGAGTTGCTGTTGTTCCCAGTTGCTTCCATATTGTTATAATACCACTAACAGTTGACTGTGGAATATTTAGTAGCAAGGAAATTTCACGGATGGACTTATTGCACAGGTGGCAACCTATCACGGTACCACACTTGAATTCGCTGAGCTCCTGGGAGCAACCCATTCTTTCACAAATGTTTGTAGAAGCAGTCTGCATGCCTAGGTGCTTGATTTTATACACCTGTGGCCATGGAGTGATTGTAACACCTGAATCTAATGATTTGGAGGTGTGTCCCCACTATGTATAGCAATATAGTGTGTGTGTGTGTATGTGTATGAGAACAGGGGAGTAGAGACAGTGGCTACCTTGGGGGTAAGCGCTACACATATATATTTATATACCATATAAATTGTAATTCACCAACATTCAAAAAAATGCAGATAAATATTCCAGGTGCAAGTGTTTTTAATGGCAATGATTGATTCAGGGCTGGTTATAACTTCTGTCAGTTTTTTTTCTCCCATCTGTGTCCCAGTGAGGAGACTTTCCTTTACTTCCTGTCCAGTAGCCAAAACAGGTAGTGAGAGGAAATCCCTAAAAGTGAGAGAGAAGCTCTGTTTGCCACAAGTGTCCCCATTAGAAGAATTCACATCTATTCCTGTTCTGGTGACAACCCAAAATTTGGATTTTTTTTTTCACTTTCAATAATAAAAGTAAACAGGACAAGAAAGAGGGTGAATCTCCCTAATAGGGAATATACAGCAATAAAGAGCTGACAAGTGTTCAAATCCCACTCTTCTCTCTCTAAAGCTTAAAAAAAAGAAAGTTTTGCCTTTAGCTAGGTTTTAACAGTTTCTGGGCAGAGTAGTTGTGGGCAGGGCCTACTTGCCCTCCACGCGGGAGTACCTTCTTTTAGTGTATGCCCTCACCAACTCATTCATGTGAAAATTAACATTAAGGTGGAACCCCGGCCTAGAGATGAGCCACACACTACGTGCAGTAGTGCAATGTACAGAGTCTCTCTATAAAACATTCTGTCCGATGTTATTACACACCTTTGTTCAATGAATGTTGCATTTAGGAGGGATACCACTGAGCCTATGCCCATCCACCTGTCCAGCATATCTCTGCTACCTCCCTCCAAATGACAGAATGGGGTCCCATTGTGCACTAATGCGGACCTCATGTGGCGAGATACATGGTGACTCTGTACTGCGCGTTTGGTCCCAGTTACTTTCAGGGGAACCAACCACTAGGGAGGGTGCCAGAATACCAATTCCCTCGCCAGCGGAGGACCTGTCGCCTATGCCAGAAACTACTGCTGACCAGCAGCTATTACATTCTCACTAGTTCATGGTTACCTGTGCCAACTACTCTCCTCCTCCATCTCTCCTGCTGAGTTAACCCTTTGTGGTGGCCTTCCTCTTCTACCTGTGTGTGCTTTACAGGCCCTGTTCTCCTGATACGCCATGTACCACCATGCACCCCTTTAGAGTAACTTCAGACCAGGCTCAGAAACAATGAACCAAACTTTACTTGAAGGCTCTGCAACAGCACAGTCTATGAACAGTTAAGTCTCTAACAAACTGTTACTAGGCTGCCCAGTCCATACAGGGCAAAGTCCTCAGCAGGTAGGTTCCCTTAGGGCAGTAGTGATCGTAGGTTTCTCCTAGTTACATCGTCCTTGTTGGACCTTTTTTCTGTTCTCCCATGCCTGTCCTTCTGACTCCCTAGACCAAGACTTCCCCCTAACACCACAGGGTGGAAGCCGTAGCCCAGAAAAACTTGGGAAGCCAACAGATCCAGTATTAACCTTTCCCCATCTAGGCAGCCAAGACTCCCTATCTAACAACTACCCAACTTGTAGGCACCTGCCTACATACTTATAAATACATTTATCCTTTATTGTTTCTTCTAGTATTTTTGAGTGTCACCTACTCTGCATTGTAAAAACAAGATCCCTCAGACCTACCAAAAACTATGTAGTGCAAGGACCTGCCTGATAGGATACTAATTTGAATGGATAATTTAGGTAGGTTCCCATATTACATAGTTTTGTTAAATTTAAAGGAGATTGTATAAAGAATATACAGTCAGACTGTAATGCAAATGCGTATGGTGAGCTTTATTTTTTTTAAACAAATTTGTTATGATAAAGCAAGATTGAAATGAACAGAACAGAAACTGTTCCTAAGAGAAATATGTATGCTGTCATTGCTGAGATTGCCTTAGACAAATGCAAGCTTTCTGGCTGTCATGCTGAATTCCATACTGTCTGAGGCATTGATATGAAATGCAGATCTGGGTTCAGTCTTACTTTCTAACTCTATGCTTTTTGCAGGTCAATGACTTAAAGTACTTGAAGCCAGAGCCAGCCAGCCAGCCAAATAGTTTTCTTAAAAGGTCAACATTGACCACCCTGTTTCCCTTCGTGCAGGTTTTCTTTACAGGTTTTAAACTGGTATGAAACATTTCCACTTTGCTTATTAGACGCTAGTGTCTATAAAAGTGTTTCTCAATCGGGGTGCTTTGGCACCCTGGGATGCCATTTGGGTTTTCCCTGGGTGCTGCAAATATGGGCTACAGTTTGTCCTGTATTTTCACACCACATAATGGGTTGCCATTAAGCAGGTGGGGCAGTCACCAGCACCACAACAACTAGTGATGTTCTAGCCTGGGGCCAGGACACACAGAGCCATTTATTTCTTTGGTGCTAGCGGCCCGCCTGCCTGCACCATGGCAATGTATAACCCTGATCTGGAGTGGCAGCATGCAGGGCCACCACTAGAATTCATGAAAGGACAAAAGTGCAGAAGTTTTCCAGCTCTGCCCTCCACTGGACGGAGTTTTAAAGTGGTTCTACAACCTACAGGTGAAAAACCTTCTGTGCTGCAGAATCCCCCCCCAGCCCCACCTTATTCTTACCTGAACCCGATCCTATCCAGCAATGTGCTTGAGAGAGGCGGATTTTGCCGCTGTCTCCCTCCTCCCTAAATAGATTGATAGCAGCGGGAGCCATTGACTTCTGCTGCTGTCAATCAAATGCTGTGCCGAGCGAGCGGAGGGCAGGGCCGAGCCGCCAGCTCTGTGTCAATGGACGCAGACTGGGCGGCTCGGGAGCGAGCCTGCACAGATACCTCCATGGAAAGCGACTTTCCATGGGGGCACATGCTGAAGAGGAAGAGCCTAGATCGCCGGTGGGGCACCCCAGAAGAAGAGGATCGGGGCTGCTCTGTGCAAAAACAATGCTGAGGGCACATGCCCTGGTAACTATAGGGTTCCTCCTGCACTTCTATATGGTGATCAGTATGTAGATAAGCGGCCAAACTCTACCTTATACCTTATAAGTAAATGTGTAAACAATAAAAATAATAGTGTAGCGCTAATACATATGAAATCAAAATATCTATATAACTTAATATGTGATAATAATTGATAATATGAAAATAAAATGAATAAATATGCAGATGAGCAAATCTATAGTGATATGATCCAGTACGGATCTAATTAGTGCCACAAACAACGTAGTGCAAAACAACGTGAAATAACAAACTGGTCCTCAATCAGGACCTCATATAGTGAAAGAAACAAAACAATCAATAACCTCCAAAAATATCCCTACCAGGAATTTTTCTTAAATAAAATAAAAAGCACACAGAAAACTGGTGCAAAACATCCGTGAATCCCCAAATTAGGGGAAAAATCTCCTAAACAAAGTGACAAGTGCTTACATAAAATTCAATCAAAGAAACTTCAGTGACAAAATATTCCAATAAAATATATATCAAAAAAAATTTTCGCAAATGTCCACAAAAATCTTAAATATAAGCCGTGCTCCAATGAAAAAATAAATATATCTTTTCAATGCAGGTGATGAGGTGAATGTGCATTCACACCAATGGTGAAATCCTCAATGGCCAAAATGCCCAACAAGCTCCGCTTACAAAATGGCGGCCATTTTGTTATGAGGTAGACTGTAAGCGGAGCTTGTTACCACACCACGGCAAATGGCTGCCGTTGTTTCTTTGGAAGATTCGAGTGCTCTCCTCACAGGTCTATACAGGATCCGGATGGGAGATTCTGCTGAGTAGCGGATACTTTTATCTGAAGTGGACCGGAGAAGCGCAAGTGCCGCCAGTGAGGGGGATTACTTTTGGATACCATCCAGTAACCAGATACTGCCTGTGAAGGATCCTGGGGTGATCCTGAAAGCGCGCTGCTGGCCCAGTGGCTCATAGTAAGGAGGTGAGGGGGATTCCCCAATTTTTGGGGGTCGGGTACCCCTAAAAGTCCTAAAGGGCCTGATATGGTCCTTAGTGGGAACCCCATGTATTATTTTAAAAACAAAGTCTCCTAACCTTCCAACAAGACCTATAGGGCCTGGTATGGATTGGGGGGGGGGGGGGGGGGCATGATGTTTTTTCAGGTATTTTGTGTTTTATTTTTATTTGTTTTTATTTTTTTTTTTGGGGAGAGAGTATTCTCCCTTCTGTCTTCGACAGTGTCCAGCAACACACCGCATAAGGCTGCAGTGTAAGCAAACTTATAGTATGAGGTTTGGACTTAGCCATGAGCCTTGATTGGCCAAAGTCACTATGTGAACTTGTTCCTGATTCTGTTTCTACAGTACTGATTGTGTTCCTATGGACATGTCGCTGGTGTTTCAGTATGGTACTGATTGTGTCTCTATGGACATCTCTCTGATGTTTCAGTATGGTACTGATTGTGTCTCTATGGACATGTCTCTGATGTTTCAGTATGGTACTGATTGTGTCTCTATGGGCATGTCTCTGATGTTTCAGTATGGTACTGATTGTGTCTCTGTGGGCATGTCTCTGATGTTTCAGTATGGTACTGATTGTGTGTCTATGGACATGTTCCTGATTCTGTCACTACAATACTGATTGTGTCTCTGTGGATATGTCTCTGATGTTTTAGTACGGTAGTGATTTTTTTGTCTATAAACATGTTCATGGTTGTTAGTACACTGCTGGTTGTGTTTATGCTGACTTGTTTTAGCATGTTAGTACAGTACTGGCTGTGTCTGTGCAATCATTTTTCTGGTTGTGTTTGTACGGGTAAAGATTGTGTCTCTGTAGATATGTTTCTGTTTATATAGTTACATAGTTGATAAGGTTGAATAAAGACATCAGTCCATCCAGTTCAACCTGTGTGGGTGTGTGTGTGCATGCATTTATGTCTCTAACACTTCCCAT